CACACTCAAGGATCTGCAAAAGACTGATGTTATGGCCTAGTTAAGAAGACCTAAAATGATCATATCTGCTTTGAAAAGTGAACATAAACATTTTGACAGTAGAAGATGAGTGTCATCTACAGTGCAGGCAGCAGGATGCAAAATATAGAGGAAAAAAATGGGTCTCTCCAGAAAAATAAGCTCTAGTGTAGAAGCATTCTCTTGCTTAGGCCCCTCAAATGCTTAGCTAGGGTCAGACAAAGGAATCCTCAGTCCAGGGAGTTTGGTTGCTCCATCTTTTGACTAAAATCCTCTGTGATCCCTCCAGTGTCACAGGTAATAGTCCCAAGCTATTAGACAACACAAGGCACAGCAAGACCCCACCTGTATGATTTAGCTGTTCAGGTCTTCTTCTCAGCAGCTGTGTCAAACATAGAGTGTGAGTAATGACCACAATTCAATGATCAGAGAAGACCAGAAATATGTCAGAAGACCCTTCAGCCAACAAATGATGATGTCAAATTGACCTGAGGAAACAACTCAGCCTTGTTCTCTGATTATTTCTTTGTTGAGTTCATTTGTACCTGAGGGACAATTAGGGAGGTAGGGCTTTGTCTGCACTAAAGTGACCCCCACCATCTGATTCATCAGCCAGGTGACACAGAAGCGTGGTCACATCTCTGGCACCACTGGCTGTGAAACACCGAGCATCAGAGAAGGGCTTCCTGAGGAACATCATTCATACATTGGATTTTTTTATTCAGAGCAACAATGAAATGGTTCCTCAAGGATTTTTCAAGTGGGAACGCAACACAGTGCAAAATAATCCTCTAGCTCACAACAATAAAAAGCTTCTTTCTGCTTGACCTAGTAAAGGGTCGCCTTTCGAGGGTGAAGAAAATCCTAAAAGCAAGGCATTACATTGAATACAGGACCTAATGGCCTCCTTCAAGGGAATGTCTCACTCTCCTCCTGCAGCTCAGCACACTGATATCCTTTCTGGCACACCACTATTCCGGCTGGGCAAACCAGGATCTCCCTTAAGAACATGATTTCAGCAGGGCTTCTGAACCCCATGTTGTCACACTGTGTGTGTTAAACCTGGCAGCTGGGTGATTTAAAAATTCCTGTTTGAGAGGGAAGAGAGACATATGAACAAGACAGTCAGAGGTGAAGGGAATAAAAATCACCACTGGCAATGACAGGACTCTGTGCATGCTGCTAAAGTGCTAACCTCACACATTTTTTCAGCCTCCTACCCTTTGACTCAATGCCCATAGGGAGGCTAAGGCTGGGTTATTACTGGAAGCAATTGCATAACTGTGCCAGATGTTTTCTACTTCACTTCTCTAGAAGTGATAAGATCTAGGTCCCACCAGTTCCCTTTGCTGTCCTTGCTGTCAAGGCAAGGTGTGTCCCCAAGGTATGTGCAAGGTAAAGCACATCTGGGAAGTCCTGTGCATTGATTTGGGATGCACAGCTGGCTCTCTCTTCAGAGCCCATGGCTGCTTAGGAGAGGTCCTGTCCTGTTCCCAGGACAGGCTCTGTAGCAGCACACTGTGTTTAAAAGGCTCCTGATAAATGTGTTCTCCAGCTGTGTTACACTGTCATGGCTCACACACCTTCCCCTGACTGAAACGTCAGCCCTGCCCTGCCTAACAAGTTGGAACAGAACAAAGCAGAGGTGCAGGGGAAAGGATTAAATGCAACAATATCTGATCTCCTTGCCTCATGCTCCACTAGGACTTTCTTGTTTCACTTTCCTATAGCATCCTCACTCTCAAAAAACCTGGACAAACACACCAGCTGAGCCCCAGCTCCTGTCTGCACTGGGAAAAAACTCATGTCTTGGGTATCAAACATTTGGCTTAGCACAGAGAGAGCCCAATGGCCTTGCATCAGGTTACCCAGCAAGGCAGGAACCCAGCTAAGCACAAAGCCCTTCCCCTTGGCCACCTCAGCTCACTCAGAAGGCTCTGGGAGACAGGAGAGGAGCGAGAGCCCCTGCATTCCTCTGCAGCAGGTGGGTGTTACACCAAGTGGGTGCTACACCAGGTGGGTGCAGCATAGGTACAGGGAGGTGGCATTGGCACAGCCTTCTGCTGCCTTCTTTGAGCAGCCTGCCAGAGGGAGGCAGTGATTTGGAGTTTTGCTGTTTTATAGCTAAGTGAACTTTAAATCTAAATGGGAGAAATCTCTGAAATGCCTACTATGAGTTCGGGGTTTTTTCTACACTAGCACTTCTGTTCATGGCCTTGTGCAATGAAGTGTGGATGGTCTCTGGGGATGGATGCCTCATGGCACCTGTTCTGATGTTACATAACCCTTGGGAGAAACACTTTTTTTCCTTCCATGTGCTCATTGTTTCTCTGTATGAATCTTGGCCTCTTTACCTTTGCTCCTGCCACTGTGCACCTCTGAGGAAAGCCTTGGCTCCAACACTGTTCAACCTGACTTGAACATAACCTCAGGGCCAGCAGGAGAACCTTCATAAGATGCCTGTAGCTGAGGAGAGAGGTAGTCCTGACAATAACTTAGCAGCCAAAGCTAAACAGAAAGTCTATATGCATTTAATGTATCTTTTTATATGGTAAATTTTTATCTGAAGAGTCATATGACTCAAAAAAAGCATAATTGATTGTCCTGAGTGCTGGTCAGAGACACATTTGTAAATGTTTTGGCTTTTTCTACCCACCTGCTTGGTAAAATTTTGAATAGTACAAAAGCATAAATTAAAATAGCTTGTCATTTGTTACTGCATCAGGGATTATCTTCAATTCTCTGTAATATCAAAAAATATCTGCTAGCATGCAAGCAGTTTTCTGTTTACACATTTTAAAATTATTAGGGATTGTTCACTAGTTACCTTAGATGGATTTTATAATGGGATTTCAGCAATTTATCCTACTCTGTGTGTGCTATGTACTGTAAGTATCAAACACACACACTGGATTTCTCATGCCTGAGGGTAAACAACCTTATTTATAGCCTTTTTTACAGCATACAATATACATTTCTTCTAAGGCAAGACCAAATTTATACATACTGTGGATGTTTGTTATAACATAGCTGAGAAAGGCAGAAAACCTCTCTATGCCTTGTATATGGCTTACCCTACAGGTGGCCACCTCACATCACACAAAATATGGTCACAGGACCATTTATAAAATTCAGCTACTAATCTGGTTTGCAATTTAATCTACAAAGTGCATTAAAATGAAAATAATTCATTGGTGGTTTTGCCATGCCTGAATTTAGTCATTTGTTCATATGACACCTCAGAAATATGAGTTATATTTGACAGCCCAGCTGTCCACGCCTGGGAAAGGCAGTTCATCTGCTGTCAGGCCCTTCTCTCAGGTTAAATTATTCAACAAGCAACTAAAGTGGATAATCTTTATTCATTCTGGCATTTCCAGTTTCATTTGAAGTGTAGCTGATGAAGCTGTTTTATGATGCTTCATTTCATTGTGTATCTTCCTGTTCCTGCTTGGTACAACTTGCAAAATGTTCATATTGTCTGAGGTTTTTTAATAGATGACCTTCCCTTCACTGTGGTTTGTGAAGCATTTTGTCTCCTGTACAATGAGAAACCCCTTTTTATGTCTTTGGGTGTTGCTATTATTCCTATTGATTTATCTAAGTACTTTTTCCTGTCATACATTTTTGTTATATGAAATAAATTGCTTTGGGTTTGTTTGCTTTTGCTTTTTCTCAGGCTGGGAAAACGAATATCATAATTTTGATTTCCTTTAAAATAACAATATCGATGTTTGGGTTTTTTTCTTCTGTAGTATTTTTTTCTGTCTTTAGCTGAAGAGCTAATACAATTTGTTAACTGGAGCTGTTCATATAAGTCCTGGGTTTTACAGTGGGTTTTTTCTCATCTGTCACCACACAAAGCTGATATAGGCATTAAGGAGAGACATTCCTTTGCTAGAGCTGCTAGTTTCCAGCAGGAGTTCTTGGGTGAAAGTACATGGACCACCTTAGGTATGATACCAGCGTCTTCAAGAAACATTTCCACAGCTTTTTCTTTTCACACATGCCTGTCCTTCAAAGCCAAAGGTTAAAGTTCATTTTGTTTATTGACTTTGGCCTTGAGGGTCGAGCATTGTCCTACAGTCCTTGAGGAGACTGAACAGGATCATACTAGAGAAATAAGTGTTTTTCTTAGGATTATTTACCTTTGGTGGGAGAGGTTCCAAAATAGCTTAAGACTTCTGGGGCAGACAAGGATTCCCACATATACTACTGTTGTGATAGTACAAAGAGTATTTACACCCAAACACAGGTGCCTTTTCTTCCTGCAATTGCAGTCATCAGTGAGCCACTCTTCTTTTGGACAATTGGCAGTCACCTACAAAGCTGAAAAATAGAAACTGAAAAGAAATCAGAGGAAACTATATCAGAATTGGGTTAAAGTGATTAAGATTACACAGCTCAATATCTTTGTTTTCAAGGGAAAATGTGTTTTCTATAGTGGTCATAAACTTGGAGGTGTAGGACACATCAAATTTTTGTGTCATCCTTGCCAGGCAAAGCAGTGAGGACTGTAAGGCTCGGTGGAAACTTTGCAGAATGGGGCACGCTGTGACTGAAATTTATCAATATTCATGATGGCCTGGATTAACTTATTAATTTCATCTTCTGTGTCAGTCATTCCAACTCAAAACAATATCTTTTAAAGTGCGGATGAAGAGGAACTGTGAAGGAAATATTGTGGAAATTTAAATCAGATTGCTGTGATTGGATGCTGCCCACAGGGAATATTACCATGTGCTGAACACAGTTCATATCCCCAACACTGCAGATTTCTGATGGGTTAAGGAAAACAGGGTATGAATCATTCAAAGATTTCTAATATAAGCATTACCCAAATAAATACCCTTCCCCCACTTGCAGAGTCTCTGGCCAAATACTGTCCCTCTGTTCCAGCTCCTCCTTGCTGCCTCTCCCTGTTTCCGGATGGGCCCTGGCCCCCAGCCCTTATCTCCTCCAGCCCCTGGGCTGTTTGCAGAGAGCACTTATAAAGAGGCCGACAGAGCACGGAGTGGAGGAGAATTACAAGGTGCAGGAAAACAGCAGCACTGCTTGGCTCAGCACGACCTGCTCTGCCATGGGGAAGGACAAGCTGCCCAGCAAACCAAACATCTTCCTTCTTCTTCTCTTCTTCCTTCCTGGAAATACTCCTCTCAACACAGAACCGTAAGCTACACGTGCGGAGGGCTTTTTCCTGCAGTTTCGCTCCCTTTTTCCTGCAGTTTCCTTCCCACTAATAACCAATTCCTGAGTTTCCTGCACAGCTCTGACAGTGCTCCCTGCTCCCATCCTGTAATCCTCAGGCTGTCCAGCCCTGGGACCCCTCCCCACCACTATCTCTGCCAGTGGATTGCTTCCATCCTTCCCCCAGTCTCTGCCCACAGTCCTGCCCTGCGGCTGCCTGATAGTCCAAACCTGGATCCTCACAACATCTTTGCCCAAGTATGTTTCTGCCTCGAAACCTCTCAGGGCCTGGGATGTTGTGGGTACGATGCCGGGATCCAGGTGCTTACCTTTCCCAGAGTGTCCTCCTTTCAATCACTGAGTTACTTCTCCCCATTCTCCTGTTGCTTTTCAAACCAGTTTGCTCCCCTTTCTGCTGCCAGTTTGTTTCCCTTGGCAGCCTCAGATGTGCTTGTTCTCAGAGAGGATCTGTGACCTAGATTCTCTTCCTGCGGCGCGCAGGCCGGTGCCAGCGCTCCCGGGACGGCCAGGCCCGGCCGTGCGGCCCGGCAGCACGGCTGCAGCTTGAGCTCGGCCGGTGCCCGGGAGAGGGGCAGCCCGGCATGGCACGGGCAGGCTGCAGCCTGGCATGCCCACCCCAGCCTTGCCCGCCAGACTGTGCTGCTCTGAAGCCTCTTGTCCGGGTGGGAGCAGCCTCCCTCTTCGGAGCTTGGCTGTGTTCCTCTTGCTGTGCTGACCAGCACGGGTGCAGTAATGCTTGCTGCAGAGATTTCGTGCCCACGAGCGCTGCCACAGCGCTGGCAGAAGGTGCAGCACTGCTGCTGCCCCTTGCTGTGTGGTCAGAGCTAAAGCTGTAACTGGGTCAGCCTGAAGGACCTTTGACTCACGCTGTACCGTCAGTCCCTCATTTGTCTGCCCTGTTTGGGTGCTTCTGGGGCAGATCAGCCAGGCAAGTGTGCTTTGGGGTCAGGCAGAGCTCTCTGGTCCCCCTACAGTAATCTGATGTAACTAAGTAATCTTAATTCATTCTTGCCCAACATCAGGGGGAAAGGGAATGAAACCATTCTGCTCAGACCTATGGGCAACATAGAATTGTAGAATGGCCTGGGCTGGAAGGGACCTTAACAATCACTCCAAACCCCCTGCCATGGACAGGGACACCTTTCTCTGGACCAGAGCTCCATTCAACCTGCCTTTAAGCATCTCAAGACGGGGTATCCACAGCTTGACTGGGCAGTCTGTGCCAGTGCCTCACCACCCTCACAGTGAAGAAATTTTCTACCTAATCTAAGCTTACTCTCTTTCTTACTATTTACTCTAAACTTACTCTCTTTCAGTTTGAATCCATTCCCCCTTGTCCTGTCTTTGGCAATAGTCTCTCTCCATCTTTCTTGTAGGCTGCTTTTTGTCCCTTAACCGAGTCCCATTCTGGGAGGGAAGAACAAAGAAAGGCTGAGAGGTGGGACAGAGAGGGGTGCTGTTGGGGTGCCCAGAAGGAAGACAGGAACCCAGTAGGGAGGCAGTTCTGAGCAGTGAACTGCTAGGTAGCACAAGGGTAGTGGTTTTGCTGTGGGTGCAGGATAGATCAGATGCTGTATACAACACAGAAAGGAAACAACCCTTGAAATGAAGACAAAAATTAAACTTCCAACCAAGACTTGCTTACTGTGCCCTGTGCAAGTAGGAGTATCACTTATTTGGGCAGGAATAGCTGCTGCTATTACTGTTTCAGAGGTGACCAGCTGGGCAGGAGACACAATTAAGGCTCAGATTGCATGCTACAAAAATCCATATTAATCAAGTTAGTGCAGCACTGGAACAGGTGACCCAGCTAGATGGTAGAAACTTCATCTCTGGTGTCCTTTGCAAAAGTCCTGTTCCAGGAGGGAAAGTGGGCTTGAGATATCCAGAGGTCCTTTGTAACCAAAACTTCAAGGATTTTGGAAGAATGCAGCCAAAGGTATTGCTCTCCTGCTCTGGTTGTACATGTAAGCTGTTTCACAATGCAGTGGACATGCTTGGGAGTACTCTGCATTTGGTCCTAAGTGTGAGGCCATAATGACACTAGAATTGGCAGGTATGGATTTAGGCTGATGAAGTTCACTGCCTTCTTTGGCTGGGTGCTTGTTCTAGTAAGTAGCTGAGAGTCAATACACAGACAGATATCATTCCACCTCAGGCTACAGTATTACCTTCTCTGTATAGACAAACTCGCCATTTTTGCCTCAACCACCATCTCTAGGGTCTCCTATTCCTCCTTGATGTGTGCCTCTGTCGGAGTCACTGCCTCTCCTGTCAGAGCATCTCCTTGCGTGCTGAGGTCTCTTTTGTCAGCCCAGATGCTTTTTGTCCTGGAATGTGTATACATGGGTTTTGTGACCACAGTTGCTTAAAACACTCATGGTAATTTAATTCATCTGTCTCTTCTAAACAACACATCCCCAAACACCTAAAGAGGGGTCTATAAACAGCATGGTTTATATCTTTGTTTCAAAGGCAGGGAAGCTAGCCTAAGGGGAAGCTCTGCAAGTTGGCCAAAATTTCAGCAGAACAGTGAACAGGAAGAGAAATGAGGCCAAATTCCCCACAAACTAGGTCATGCTGTCCTTTCTGTAGACTGGATGTTATTGTCACATTGCCAGTGCCACTGACAGGGGACAGGGGGAATGGAATTGGGGGAAGCAGCATGGGCTGAAGCCATGGTAAGAAGGTTGTGGAAGAAAGGAAACGCTGGAGAAAGCAGAGAGTCACAAGTTGTAGCTCAGTCTGTGGGAGGCTGACAGTCTGGGAGTTCCCTCGTTTCACAGCTTCTGCAGCAGTGCTGGCTGAGCAGAGTTGCCAGCAGGCAACTACATTTCACTACAGTGCTGCCTCATGGTGAAGGAAATGCAGGAGCTGCTGGGATCCCACTGCCTCCACAATAGCTTTAGGACTCCCCAGAAAGCTCAGAGCCCAAGCAAAAATGTAGCTCTGGATGGATGCATCTGTATTTGTCCTCTATTCTTTTCTGAACACTTCCCGACAGTCTGTTTGTTACTTATTACTGATTGAGTCTTTTCCAAGGCTGACCAACAGTGCTCAAGTCTGAGTGGTAGGCGCTCACTTATTATTTTCCCTTTATGAACAGTTCATTTGTTATTTTTGCTACTCAGTTCTATCATACAAAAAATCTTTTCCACAAATATCTAAGTCCATTTTTAGAATTTTCTTATCCTGCACAGTTAGGAGAAAAATGTACTTTCAAGATCATCAAGGTATGTACTGAAGAATAGGGGTCTCAACACAAACTGTGGAGGTTTTCACTGGTTCCTACCCTTTCTGTCCTATCTTTCAACCAATTAATCTATTACAGAATTAATAATTTTATTTATTAGTAAAATGATCCCTTTTATTGAATGGCAGCTTAGTTTAAGGGTCCTCTGTGAGGGACCTTTCTCAAAAGCTCTTTGAAGATGCAAGTACACTTGGGGTGCAATAAAACACTACACCCTGAAATCCTATGTGTGCTCATCTTAGTAAGGTCCCAAACTGCAAGCACTCACATCTTTGCTCAGCATGTGAAGGATTTGGAAACCTGGATAGGCAAAGACTGGAGGAGTCAGACAAGTGGGTGGGTTTTTTCCTCAGCTGTTTTTAGCTAATGCCTTTGAGTGTCAAAAGGAGATTGTGGGATATAGAAAATTCAATTAACAGCCTGAAACCTTTCAAACCATCCTTACTCCCTGCTGTGAAGCCAAACAAAACATCCTTTGTAAAGCACTCCCCATTAGCATAGAAATTGTTCCTTCTACTGCAAGCGTTTTCCTGCTTTTAGGCTAATTAGTTAGACCGTTTAATATGTATAACCCCAAAATAAAATGAATGCTCATGTTATATGCGCTGCAATTCGCAGGGATGGCAATGGATTAGGCATGCTGATTTGTTAATTTCCCTTCACTTAATATTGTTGCCTTAAAAGTGTTTCACATTTCTGATCTTTCTTGCTTCCCTCCCTTCACAGGCAGTACATGGTGCTAGTGCCCTTTCTGATCCACACAAATTCTCAAGAGAAAGTCTGCGTTCAGCTGACCTACCTGAACGAGTCTGTGACGCTGAGTGCCACACTCGAGTACCTAGGGGAGAACAGGAGCTTGATTGATGATGTGGTGTCAGAGAAAGACATATTCACCTGCATCCCTTTCTCTGTGAGTATCTCATCCTCACGGGATGGTCTCTTGTGTTTATTGACGTGGCATAGTAGATCCAAATAGTCCAAAAATGAGAAATAAGACACACTGCAATCAGAGACCCCTAAGCTAAGTCAAACAAAAGAATTAACTCAATGTGGATGACTGACTGTGGTAGTCTTTCAAGGACCAATTTTCCCCCATTACCAAATTCTGTGTCCCACATGATACTTCTCTGCACACATGTTCGAGAAGCCTTTTGCAACTTTGACTGACAGAATGTGCCCCATGTTTGTTTGATATGTGTAAGCCTGAGATGAAAAATGCCAGCATGGACTGAAAACTGTAGAAGCTGGGGGCTTGTTAAAGACAATTAGGTCCATGAAGTCATATGGCTGCTTCTGGAGCATATTCCCAGTTTTTACTGCAGAAGGCTGGTTGGTGAGTAATGTAAGCAACAGGTTCCGTACCCTAATTAAGGAATCTGGGTTAATTTTATTTTTGATAAATCATGTGACGGAATAAGATCAGGTTCAGTATTTCTCTAAGAAAAGTATATAAATGAAGGAAGGTAATAGTTTTTTTTCTTGCTCCTTGCACTGAGTCTTTTTGTCCCTTTAGGGAACTTTCTGACCCAGCTAGCACTTCTTCCTTCAACTCTCAGTGCAGTGGGGTGAATCAATAAAGCAGTTATCCTCTTCATTCTCCTTAGCTTCCAAAATCCAATAGCACATCAGTGGCGTTTCTCACTGTGACGGTGACAGGGGACACACTGCACTTCAAGAGCCGCAAGTCAGTGCTGGTCAAGAATTCCGAAAGCTTGGTCTTCGTCCAGACAGACAAACCCATCTACAAGCCCGGACAGACAGGTACCAGGAACTGGGCTGGTATTGACTCTGACAGCAAAACATCTTAAGGCTCCATTCTACAGAGGTGCCATACTTGTGCTGAAGTTTTCAGGTTTCTTCGTGGTGGAATCTAAGTAAATCTTATTTCTGTCAGCTGAGGTCTAGTCCACAGCACTTTCATCATTCCTAGTCCTCATTCTCCAGGCACAGCATCTCAGCCAGATGTAGACACAGGCTCCAATTAATTCTATTCAAGTAGAGGCACAAAGCTGGGATGACTGCAAAGCATAGTCTCCCTTGGCTGCACCAGAATCAACAAAGCAGGACAGGCACTCCCAAGAGATAATTCAATTCAGCCAAGACCTGATTATCCTTCTAAATTTATCTGCCCCTCACTATCTGCAAGAGAAAGAGCTTGAAGTAATTGCTTCTATTACTTAGAGATCTCAATTCAGAGCCTGTTGATCTGTGGAATGAATTTGAGTTATAAATTACTGAAACATTATCATTTCCTGGTGATGGCTACAAATTTAACAGTGGAATTTCCTTTTTTTCTGTTGCATTCTTCAGTTCAGTTTCGGATCGTCTCTCTGGACAAAGACTTCTACCCACTGAATGAGAAGGTAGAGCCTTAATTCCTTGTTGTTAGCCAGGCCATTTAATTTTTAAATTAACACCATTGTTGTCATCACACAGAACCACTGAAGACAACCTTTAAAGCATATGATACTCTCTCACACCATGCTTTACCTGTTCCATGTTCTGTCCTAGGACACATTCCACCTGTCTCTAATGGCTGAAAAAAATCCCCCTTTTCAGAAGCATATAGATGTTTAAAGCCAGATTTGAAAATCAATGTATGTGCTAAGCATGTGGGCAGGGATCTCATTCCTGAAAAATGTGTGGGACAAGTTTCCATGGGTAGTGACAGGTGTGCAGTTGTTTCTGGCAGTGGGTGCAATCCCACACTTAGAGAGAAGCATAACAAGAACTTGCTTTTATGGAACTGGTCAGGGGTGCAAGCCCACCTTTTGTTTTATTTGACAATCAGTTCCTCATGCAGACAAGTTATTTGAAAACTTGTGCTTCATCACATCTTCATACAGTGGTAAGACAAAAGGTCAGGGCCCTAAAATATTATAGAAAAGATTCCCTTAGCCGTCAAGAACCAAGGTTAAAAGAGCAAGTACAGAAAGGGAACAACTCAAAGGTCTTCCTAGAAGTTTCTTCTGCCCTTCAGTCCAAATTTGGAAATTACTCCCCTGTGATTAATATTTCTAACACTGATTTTCTTTTGCTCTTTCCCCACAGTTTCCCTTTGTCTACGTTGAGGTGAGTGGATAACTACATTATTATTTCAGAAGAATGTGCAGGCACAGAGCTACCAGTCCCCAGCAGTGGTGTTTTCAGATTGAAGGGCAAGGGAAAAATCACAGGCCTGTGACCTTTTCCCTTTGGTTAAAGGAAGGCTGAGTAGCTGGGAATCAAAATAAGTTCCAATAATGGTTCTTTGATCACAGAACGAGCTGTGGAGGAAACTAATTAACCATTACAAGCCATGCTGTGAACAGAACTACACTTGGCTAGAGGTCATCAAAATCTCTTATTCCTCTTCCCAGTCAATACTGGGTCTCTGTCTGCCAAGTGTGGTTGAAATTAAAGAGCAGTGTTAAATAAGCTATCAAAACCAAAGAAACAAAATTAGGTACGTAGACATCCCCGTCCTCCCAAGCATGTTTTTTTTTGTCTGGCTTTTTTTTTTTAATGGTTGAACTTCAGTGGCAGGAAAAGTTAATAGGAAGGATGTTTCAATGATTCAAGCTCTCACTTTTTCAGATGAGAACACAAAATTTACAATTATTATTTGGGATATCTTCTTTTGAAAAAACTTATGGTGAGAGCTCATGGACAGACCCTGAAATTAGTGTGCACAAAATTTATTTTGGTTTATGCAATTAATGAGTCCTGTGTAGTCAGTTCTTTTACTGCTCCTTGCTGCGTGGGGTTGCTGTCTCCATTCTGCACCATCTCTGTCTAGAGCTGGACAGTCATCACAACAGAGGAGGCATAAGGTAGGCCAAAACCAGGCCGTGCTGCTTTTTTGTATCCCCTTTTCAGAGTGTTGTCATTCCCCCTTCCCATCAACAAACTTCCAAAAAAGAGCTGCAGAGCTGGTGGGCCACTGATGATCTGTGAATATTGGAGAAAGAAGAATAAGAGAGTGGGAGGTGTGGATTAGCAGGCCGAGGGGAGCATCCCAGAACTACCTTTTGCTAGAGCCATAGGTGCAGTCCCATGGGGTCCCTTCCCTTTCAATGAAATGATACTTTACTGAGTGCAGAAATTTAATGAGCAAGGAGCATTTAAAGGAGCAAGAACAAATACATCTTCCAGAAATACGTCCTTGTCTAGCAAGCTGAATAATTTAATAACCTTTGTGTGTATACCATGTGTCAATACCATGAAAGCCTTCACTTTTAAATCCATAGGAAGGCCATCTGTGTTTTCAGCTCTAGTCTGTAAAGCATGGTGTTTGTCCGTGCTGTTTAAGCCAGCTTAGGTAGGTCTTGTCCTTCATCTTCACCATCCCCTCTCCCTTCCTCATCCTTCCTTCCTCCTTCTCAGCCCAGTACTGCCATTTGTTTGGATTTCACAGCTGTCTACAAGGCACTCTTGTAGAGTGGGAAACTGCTGGGGCAGAAAATTCACTGGATTACTCTAGAGTACTTTCTTCAGCCAGATCAGGCCAGTCAGTGCCCTTTACCACATGATTGTGTGAAATTTGGACTGGACCAAAGGAAAAAGTGGCAGGAGTGAAGAAAGGTAACAGCCTAAGTGTCAGCACTTCTAAGGAAATAAATGTCCATCAATCTACACCCTGGATGTCACTAATTTACCTTACAAAGTACAAAGGCAGACATTAGTATGAGTCTGCTACTTCTGAACTATTATCCTGACCTATTGCTTATGTAATTAAAAAAAAAAATTAGAGCACCTTTCTGAGGAAGAAAACAAACTGGTTTTCAGGACTTCCCTATAAATATATCACAGAAACAGCAACAAGTTCACAAGCCCAGCTGGAAATGTAAACATTCATTGTAAACATTTTCTTGAATTCCTCTTCTGAGGAAGCCCAGTGGTGTCCCTCACAATAAGTGGTGAGCTTTTCAGCAGGGTTGAAATGTGATGATGAAGAGGATTTGTCAGAGTCATGGGATGCATTTTACTGACTGTGCCACCCTCCCAGGTGGCTTCTTGGGAACACGGCCCCCTCTTCTGCCCCCTGACTGATGACCTCCAGCTTGGAGAATGTCTCTCACGTCTCCATTTTCCCTAAGCCCTGAGATAATATCTCAGTGAAGTAAATGCACATAGTCACATACCTTGAGTCACACACCTATCTAGAGTAAATAAACTTTTGGTGACAGCCAAGGTACAAGGATGCATTAAACTATGCAGAACCACTGTGCTGTTTCAGTGACTTCTACAAGAAATTTGGGGCTGAGTGGATTAATTATTGGTGGTCAGTTAATAATGAGCAATACACCAATGTAGTAGTAGTGGTGAGACTTCAGCTCCAGCATTAGGAGCATGGAGACACAAGGGAGGGTCTCAGCTGGATGCCTGTATGTGGAAGTATACTTTCCTCTGTTGCTGTCACCATTCCCCCACCCAACCACTGGCTTAGGAGTCTTATACTTGTACATTTCTCAGTCCCACAGATAGGTCAGGTGTCTGACTCCTCAGCAGATTGCATACTGGTACTTCAGCAGTCTTCATTCCAGCCAGGGGAAAACCAAAACTTTTGCATGCTGTATGGCCAGTCAAGGAAGTTGAAACTTCCCCCTATTCTCCATGTGCTTCACTTCTGATACCAGTTCTGTTCCCTTCTGTTACCCTGCCAGTCTGTCTTGCCTAGCTTCCTGGCCCCATCCTTTGCAGGTACAGCTGAGGGGGAGACAACACAAAAGTGTTTAAAAGCTTTCTTGCATGCAAGTTATGCAGAATTGGCAGGTAAGTACTTTCAGAACCTCACAGATTGTTAAATAATTGCAGATAGGTATTTCCCATCTGGGATGTGCCTGCACTGGGCACTGCACTGCTCTGTCCCTGGCACTCTCCTGTACTGTCTTGTGACACTGTTACCCTCACCTGCAGGATCCCCAGAGGAACCGTGTGTACCAGTGGCAAGGGGTGGAACTAGAAACAGGCTTTACACAGCTCTCCTTCCCCCTCACCTCGGATCCCATCCAAGGCTTCTACAAAATAGTTGTGCAGAAGAGCTTCTCATCCCATGTGGAGCACTCCTTCAACGTGGAGGAATTCGGTAAGGAGAGGAATTTGACAGTAATGCCTTTTACTGTGGCCACTCAAATTGGAATTTCCTGGGAAAAACATGGAGAAGGGATGGACGGAATATAACAGGCAATGAGGTTCATAGGGGCTGAGCCAGAAAGCGCTAAGTATCAGAAGTGATTGCTGACTTTATGGCATCTCTGCAACCTGCCCAAGTTTGCATTTGCTCAGAGTGCTCTGGGGAGCACAGGACATACCAGAATTCCTATGTATGGCTTGTGGCACCAAATTCAGTGGCTTTGTCTCAGTTGATTCCAGTCCAGCAGCTTGTTGCAAGTAGCACTAGATATGAATGTAAGAGATTACACTATTTTGGTGGCTCTATTTTGCTTTTCTCATCATCTGCATAAGGTTTCTTTCTCCATTCATAGTCCTCTCTATTTTTGCTCCTCCTTGTTTCTGTGAAAGCTTAGAAAACATGTTTGATAGAAAACTTGTGATTGAAGAACAATCCATGAATGTTACAAAAAGATCACTAGGAGAGACTGAGTAAGAAGAAATATGCTGCTGCAGGGAGCCTTTTAACCCTCAGCTCTCTAACAAAGCTTCTTGGGTGATCATAGATGTGTATTCTGACCAGAGGTGTGTATTCTGACCATAGATGTGTATTCTGGCCATAGATGTGTACTCTGGCCATAGGTGTAGATGTGTATTCTGACATAGTGAACATTTGAGAAGGCTGATTGGCCAGTGCTTCACACTCCCAGGCTCTCCACTACCTCTGCATGAAGACCAGATGTTTATTCTAGAAACAGCAGATCCATTGATCAAGACCTGCCATTTCTGGAATATGCAGCCCATAGATTGCCATTGAAGTCCATGGGAGATGGCTTATTTGGCTTTGAGTCAGGCATGGTAAATAATTTGACCACAAACCAGGCTATAGCCTTCAATCTGTCATGGTGGCAGATGGCCTGTTCCTTCTCCCACAAAGACCATTCTGAATGCCCCATAAAATCAAAGATGTTAAGTCCCGTTGTTAGCTTCCTCCTAACCTGATTTTTCTTTCCTTTGTCCTTTAGTATTTTTCTTATGAATCTCTCCTATTGCTATTTCTCTTACAGTCTTTTGAGGAAATGCGCCCTGGGGTTGAAACATTGAGCCTTGTCTCCCATCTTAGAGGCAAATTTATGTCTAAACTGTATAACCCAGGGTTGTTTTCACTTTCCTGGATGTGCACCCACTCTGCTGTTATTTCCTTGCACTGTGAAAAACCCTCAGCTGCACCATTTGGAAGCAGACATGACATGCTTCAGTCCAGTCCTCGGCATGAGGAGGTGGAGGTGTAGGGCTGCAGGATGCAATATGGGAAGAGGGATGCAACTTAATGCTCAGGAGAAAAATATGTATTTTAATTGTGCCCCTTTATATTGGGCTTTAGTGCTGCCTTTTCCACTTCAAAATATAGATCTGAGAGTCTGTGGCTAGATTCACTTGAACTCTCTGGGTATGCAGGATAATATCCCACAGTGCATCTTAGTGAGCCTAGGAGCAACTCTGGATCTCCAGAACAGTAAGAATCAGCCAAGGGAATCAGTGATCTGGGGCATTTCAATGTGGTAAATTACAAAGGGGGTGATTGTACTGCTCCAAGTCCCACCCTGCAAATTATGCATTGTGAAGACATGACACAGGACCAGTGTGTCCTTGTGAATGGACACAGGTGAGGGATCTGCTCAGCTGTCTGGAGCCACATAAGCCTGTGCTGCCAATAGGGCAAGGTATGAGCTACAAATTTTCTTAATTGCCTTTGAACCCAAGAGTGGTGAAGGCTGAGAAAACCTATGGAAGGGGTAGGGATCTATACTGAAGACCACAGAGAGGTTCATATGAAGATGATCCTGGCTCTATGCTTGGGCTGCTGTGTAGTAAGCAGCTCTTACTCACTCTTCTCATACCAGACTTTCTCTCTCCCATCTAGTGCTGCCCAGGTTCGAGGTCCTGGTGAAGGTCCCAGAGATGATCACAATTAAGGACAACGAGCTTCCTGTGTCTGTCTGTGGTCTGTGAGTCACAGAGCTCCAGTAAATCTCTCTTGCTTCTCCTTCACTCTTGGTCCTTTTTGCTAAGGACCAAAAGAAGTGCTCGGGAAGGGTGTTTAAACTTTTCCCAGGCATATAGTGAACACTCATTTCATTCTGTCAGTCCTGAACCTGCTGCTTGGCCTGAACAGTCAAAGTGAAGGGACTTCCTTGTGTTCCTTAAAAGGTTTTGTCAAACAAATCTGCATCTTTATCTTCCCAGTTTATTTCACATTTTCTCTTTCTGTCTTTACATTTCTTCAGTTAGAGCTTTAGAGCTTCTCTGCCATTGCTGAACCCTCAAATACTCCAAGATGCCAGATCAGACATCATTTAAATTGGTGATGGTAACCCAGTGTTCTCATTTTTAACTCATAAATCTCTCCTTCTGAGTACTGGTTGTCTTTCCATTTCTTCATTGAACCCTGAGCAGTTTGTAATACACATACTCCTGGCTGAAATACTTTTCTAAACTCAACCTTTTTCTGCAGAGATGTCCCACCTAGAACAGGATGAGTATATCTTCCATGGATAATGGAAGAATCTCACTATGGAAGTGATGGAAATCATTGAAATGTCAGATTAGTCATCCTTTCAGAAGTATTAGGAAATTATCCACAGAGGTCTTTAAGGAGATGTGTTTTTGTGACTGTGACTGACTGTCTCCCTACCTGATACACTGTTTAACACACTGTGATTAGGTACACCTATGGGAAGCCTGTTCCTGGTTTGGTGAAAGTCCAAGTATGCCGGAAATTTTCCCAGTCTGCTTCAAGTTGTTACGGAAAAGAAACAGAATCTGTGTGTGAAGAATTCACTAGGCGGGTGAGTCCCAAGATCAAAATGTGGAGGTTTTTCTGAAGGTTAATGGGCAATGTTGTCTCAAGAAAGATCACATATGTTGGGAGAGAGTAGGGCATCCGAGATAGCGTTCTCTCCAGGGAGAAGCAGAGAATCTCAGAGGAAGGCATTCCTAACAGAGGGATCATTAAACTGGAAACAGAACTGATTACGAAAACCTGAGCCCATTGAAGCTAGTGACAAACCCCCAGCTGCCAGCCATGAGGTCTTTGGCATTGTTCCACAGAAAGAAAAGAATCTTTGAAGGAATTTTCTAACTGTGAGAGGGACTGACTGTGAGCAAGGAGCACAGATGAGGAGAAAACAAGAAGGCTGTATAGAGAACAAGGAACAAAGATGAGGTGGTATTGTATATGGGTCAAGTACAGGAGAAAGAGCAACATGATAAAGAGAGAAGACAATGGAAGAAACAGGAGGAAAAACAGAACTAAGGCAGGAGGGAATTAACAAGGAAACCAGTGTGGCCCTTGGAAAACTGTGTGTCAGGTACCTCACAGAACGCAGAAAATATGTGGATGAAACACTAGGAAACAGGCTGAACATAAGTTCTTGGAGACAACCCTTGAAAAAATTCTGGAATTTCATAAACAGAAGTCAATCATGTTGGGTCTGGGTATCTATTCTCATTCCTCAATGTACAGACTTTTTTCACAGAATTTCAATTTTCTCTCCAATCCCTCGCTTAGGCAGATGCTCGTGGATGTGTTTCTGGTGTGGTGAGGACCAAGGTGTTTCAGCTCCTACGCAAGGGATATGAGATGAGCATTGAGGTACAAGGCAAAATCACAGAAGATGGCACAGGTACGTAGGACATGAAGAAGGCAAAGTGATGGCAGGCCATAACAGGAGGCACTGGCAAACATGTGGAAGGTGGAATAATATGACTAGAAATTCATTAATAATCCCTCTTTACTGTGCTCTGTCTCAGGAATAGAGATGACTGGAACAGGCTCCTGTGGTATCACATCCACCATGAGCAAAATCCGCTTTGACCTGTTGGACTATATGTACAAACCAGGGATCCCACTCTTTGGGACGGTAGGGAACTTCTGAGACCCTGGGCAATGAGTGGCACAGCAAACACACAAGTGCACAGTCCCATCAGGTGGAGTCGTGGGGTGTGTGGGTTACATGGTTCAAGATGCAGGTGATACGTGGTGGAGGTCCCAAATGAAGCTGGCCAAGGGAGTTAAAACTGCTGAGGAACTTAGGATCCTAATAGATAATTTCCATGGGCTGATCAGGTTGTTTTGCTGAGAATTTTCTGTTATTCCCTCAGACACATCAGGGCATGCTTCACATATTTCCACATTCTTTTCCTTTGTTCTTCTCTATCAAGAAATATCCTGCCTGGCAAGGAGGAAAAGAGGGAAGAGGATGTATTACTTGGGAATTGTTTTTTCTTGCTAGTCTAAAACCTGTTATTGTTTTGTTAGGTGAAGCTGGTCGATGGTACTGATGCTCCACTTGCCAATGAAACCATTACGATTACTGTGGGTGGAAACAAATACAAAGGGAATTACACTACAGATGAGCAGGGACAATCCTGGTTTTCCATAGACACTACCAGCTTCACAGAACTCTCCCTGGAAATCCGAGTGAGTGGCAGAGACAGGGGTAAGCCTCTGTCTTTCTCTTCAACAGGGGAAATGTCTGTCCATGGATTATCAGTCTTTTCTGACAAGTGGAAAGTAAGGCAAGTTTCTTGGTGGGTCACCTCACTTCTCTGTGTCTTCTCTGCATGTTATTCACAATCGCCTAAGAATGCAAAATACAGAACATATCCAGAGTTTTTGTGTGGACTTTTATGTGACTTTATACCTGATTTGGTTTGGCTATGAACCTTTTATTCTTCCTTCTCAGGCAGATCATAAACCTGAGCTGAACTGCTATGACAGCGACTGGATGACACCGTCCTATGAGCATACCACGCGCAGAATAACTCGCTCTTACTCCCTCAGTAAGAGCTTCCTCAAAATTGAGCCAAAGCCTGAGACATTAAGTTGTGGCTCCTCAGCAGAGGTCCAGGTGCACTATATCTTCACACCAGAGGCCATAGGGGACCAGAAGAAAATTGTCATTTATTATTTGGTAAGACATATTTGGGGTTACTTTGATCTACGGCCACAGAAAGTACTGTGTAACCTCTAACTGTGTTCCATGGTGAGGAACCAGAGCACTACTAGATTGCCAGTAATGATGGAGAGCACTTGAAATGGAAAGCGTGGCCTGCAACAGTGCAATCTAAATGCACTTCGCTAGTATTTCTCTTTTCTCTGTCTTCTGTGTGCAGAATTTTGGGAGACCACAGTAATTGGAACAGACTGTAACATGCTGGCATTAAGAACGATGAATTTGTTCATTTTGGGGATCAGAGAAGAGAGACTAATTGAACTGTGACCAAACAATGACATGTCAGTCTCTCTTGGGAGAACAGAAAGATTCAAATGAATATCCAAATGTCTTTCTCCCTAAATTTGTTTTTCTGGTTATCCTATTTAATGACACTAGCAGAGAAGATGAGAGTAGCTTTGGAGAACAATAAAAATATCAGTAGAACAGACACTTCATTTCTGGTGGACTGCACAGACCATCAGGGGACTTAGGTTGATAGTCAAAAATGGAAATAGAAACCTGTTCTAGAGATGTCTATGTGCTTCTTTTCAAGACTTCTAACAATTCATGGAAGGACAAGATACCTATTTATCTCAGTTGCCTGGGAAAATTGATTTTAAGATGTACATACAGCGGGTAAACAAAGAGAGAGAATCTCCAGTTTTACAGACGTGGATCCCACATCTTGAAATTCAAATATGGTATTATGGAAAAATATTCCATATCAAAAGTAACTGAATAAAAAACATTTTTGACAGTGCAAAAGGAATCTTGTTCTAGAATGAGGGAACTACAGGAAGCATTTAGGCTATTGCTTACTACCTGACTACAGGTACCTTGTTCAAGCTCTTATTCTTTGCATCCTGTGGTCTTCTGTCCCAGCTTTGTGCAGTTGTAAAACTAATCCTGGTGAAATTTTTCTTCATACTGTTTCATAATGCAACTGAGAGAGGAATGAGACTTTTTGACCTCCAGTCTGTTCCAAATTGTTAGAAATGTGCAGATGACTCCCAGATTTATGTGTGGTTAGAGGCAAAATGCATTTGAATCTGATCTGTGTATGTAATATGTACAAAAGCAAAGATAAGTATGATCAATGTGGTCCTTCTAGGAGCAAATATTTCTGTCTCTAAATACCCAGTATATTCCAGCCTGGCACTTCTTTAGCATTTTCTTGGTAGTGCTCACACTCTTACAATTAATTCAGTGAAGATTTCTTCTCCTGCCTTTCAACACTGTGACAACAATTCCAGGAAGATTTCTCTGTTACACAGGTGATGGCCAAGGGACAAATCGTATTAGCTGACACCCATGATCTGAATGTGAATCCTGGAGATGGTGAGCAATCTATGCCTTTTTAGCATTTCTGATGGTAATTTGGGGCAGGGGGAATATAGATAAATTACTTCAATTCAAGCACTGAATTTAGCATTTCATTCAAACTTTGTACGTAATGTTTAAATTTTCAAAATTAAGCCTTTTTAGATGACGTGGCTTTGGTTAGTTTTGTTTTCTCTGAGTTCCAACAGGTGCTATTTTTTTAATGACAAATTCTTAGAAAATTCAACCAAAAAAAAGTAGAATGTTTTGGCCATTTCCTAAAACCAGCACTTTATGATGGCCACTCTACCCTATTCTGATTGTGGATGCTTACCAGTGCTGTGAGACTCATGTGTACAACAAGTAGGAAGAGCGTGCCTCCATTTCTTTGTCTCTCTCATTTCCCCTGTTTTTTTGTATTGTTCCTGCCTTGTAAGCATGCAAACACATGCATATCTGTATTCCAATCAACACATTTAAATTTATTCACATAGATGTTAGAGGATTACAGTGCCAGAGACAGGCTCTGGTGCAACTTTAAATGTCTTTTGAAAATGAGAAGAGGGAGGCATTTTTTAAGTCTGTGAGAAGGACTTGCACTGCAGTGGATATAAACAGATTATGGCAGTAAAAGATCTCATGTGCTGTACAAAGTTCTGTATCCTCACTAAGAGCAGTGACTGAACTCCCACCCGGGCTGGTACCAAGTCACCTTGTCTAGATTGTGACATAAAGCTCAGGCCCTGATAGAGTTTTCCAGTACAGAGGGACATTTTCTATGGTGTTTGGAGCAATAGTTTGGTGTTCCCGATAGGTGTTTGCTTAGCAGTAACTTTGCCAAGTTATTCTTTCAGCCATTCTGCAACCCTGACTACTGTCACCCTTTGCAACAGTCATGTTACTTTTTTTTGCCTCAACTATTTTTTTTTAGATCTTGGAGCCTTTGAGGAAAAAAAAGGTTTGGGAGCATCAAGAAATTATGCCACATGTTAACTGGGGAGAATCTAGAAGGCAGGGAGAGGCCCTCCAAACTCATGTGCTTTGTCAATTCACAATCAGTCTTTGAATGCAGGTGTCTTCAGTAGCGGCCATACGTTTTAGTCATGTGTCAGTTTGCCAGCCCCTGATAACTAAAAATGTTCATCAGGAGTGAACATGACTTTTTTTATCTGGGGAAGGCAAATGCATATATTGGAACCCCTTGCATATTGATTAGCCTTTTTCTCTCTCCGTCAGCTTACGGGACATTTCGGTTGAGCTTCTCTGTTGAGGCAGCAATTGCTCCCGTGGCACAGATGCTTGTGTACACCACTTCACCCAGTGGGGAAGTCATTGCCAGTTCACAGGATTTCCAGGTGGAAATGTGCCTCCCCAATAAAGTGAGTACAAGTCATGGTTTATGCAACCCATGTTTGTCTTGTGGACAGCAGCTCAGTTTAGATTTCCAGAATGAAGGCAGAATTCGCAATGGGTTCATGAAATGTTCTGACCAGATGTTGACTGAGGATTGGTGACCAAAATAAACCACAAAGCTACAAAAATAAAAAAAAAAGTGGAGTAAGACAGAAACAAAAAAAGAATCATTCATCCCTATTAATTACATTTCTTAATTACATTGATCAAAGATGAATATCCATTAGACACAAGCCGACTTCAGTTCACACAGCTAGAAGTGTCAGAATAATAATGTAACAGTGTCTGGAAAAGTGGATGCTTGAACTTCCTTTTGGATTTGCAGGTGAGATTGAGTTTTGCACCCAAGGAAGGTCTTCCTTCTTCCAACACACATCTGCAACTCCACACCTCTCCAAGATCGCTGTGTGCCCTTCGTGCAGTGGACAAGAGTGTTCTCCTTATGAAGCCTGAAAATGAGCTTTCTCCCAGCTCTGTGAGTCTTGGCTACTTTTGGTAATGAGCAAGTACAAGAACCAAGCAAGTACTCACTAACAGCACTATAGACATGAGGCTATGTATTTTTACAGTTGCATTCCTTACTCTTGCTTTTTAGAAGCTGGCATTTACCAGTGGAGCGTTAGGTTGTGTCTGTCCCTGTAAGTGGTGACCTGCTGCATTGTTCCCTGTTGTTTGCATTTCCCCAGGTGTATAATCTTCTCCCACTGAAGGAGAGCCAGGGTTACAGCTTCAGGGAATACTACTTGGAAGAAGACAATGTCAATCCATGTGTGTCGCTTGACAATCTGTCATTAAATGGATTTCTCTACATACCCATTTCTTCTGATGGCGAAGGGGATGCCTACGACATTCTCAAAGTAAGCACCGGCCTTTTCCTTTTCTCTTTTGTTCCCTTTTTTAATTCAGTCTCCTCTCTTCTTCCCACCTGCCCTGAAGGGCTTTTTAATAAAAAAATAAGCTCATTTGCTGTAAACTTGCTCATATTTGTATGCAAGAAAATAACCAGGCTCAGTTCCCACATCTACTTAGCCCATAAACAGCAACTGAGTCCTTCTCTAAACCATTAAAGCTTTGAAATGTCTCCCCATAGTACAGACAGCTGCAAATGGGCTTGGATAAGGAAACAGTCCTGAGAAATTACCTCTAGTGCCATAATATTAGAAACTCCTCATTCAATCATGTTTTCTTTCTCTGGTTTAAATAGGTGTTTATTAAAGTGTCAGTTAATTTGATAACCCACAAATCCACACATATCCCCCCAAAGTGTCCTGAACAAAGTTTTTTGGGTACCCTCCCTCCAGTGCATTTCACACAGACCATTTTCATGCAGGCAGCTGTTCCCTAGGTAGGCCTGTAGCCTTACCTTTCCATCTGATTATGCCAGGATTTAGCCTTAGTATGAGAATAACATGATAGAGACTCCACATCTGTGTCAAACCAGCCTATCTGGAATTTACGCACAAGCCTTTGTTATTCTGATCTATACCAGACTTAGGTACATCCATTCTTGACACACTAAAAAAAGTTTATTTTAAACAATTTTTTGCATATATTTTTGTTCTTCTTTCTCTTTGTTTACTAGGAATTGGGCTTAAAAGTCTTCACTAGCAGCAAGATCCATAAGCCTGAACTCTGCGAGCATTACCCAGAACACATGATGGAAAGGAGTTACAGTGGTTCTAGTACCTTCTTGGTTTTACCTCTCACACAGCCTCCTAAAATTTACCACCCTGTCTCTTTCCTTCCCTCTTTGAATCTTTGAATATTAATTACACAGGCAGATCTGATTGTCTTCAGATATGTTGACCTAATTCAGGATCCCTCCCTTCTGGACCTAGTCCTGAAATATGAAACTGATTCACCTCTGACTGCATCTTCCCAGGCAGCCAGATGTGCCTGGCTAGAACTGTGTGTGCTTGGTGACTCCCATGCCAGCCCCTACAGCAGCAGAGGGATTATAGGCACTAAAGGAGTTTTTCAGCACAAAGTAAACGGGTTTTTTCATCATCAGATCTGAGTCCAGCTATGAAAACCTAAAAAAGGAGCATCTGCTTCTAGGCAGCCACATTCTAACAATAGCTAGAGGAACAGCTAGGGCAAAAGTGGGCCAAGACAAATGAGAAGGCAGTACAATCCCATGGGTCGATATTTTACCACTGAGGGCTGAGAAATTTGGTTCTGTTCCGAGTTTCCCCATTTACATGACTATAAGGGGCTAGGTAGGTCATGTCACTTCTCTGCAGGGTCAGTGACTGTGAAGATAGAGAGAATGATATTGCTTTGTTTTTTTTGGTTTTTTTTTTGCTTGCTTTCTTAAACAAATCTGAGATTAGAAAGACTATATAAAAGACTCACCTATATCACTTCCAGTTATTGACTTTTATGGTGCAGTACTCCAGCTCTAATTAAACAACTGTAGCTTTTAATCCAGTGACAGCTTCTAGACTCCTACTCATAAGGATCAGATCTTTGGTTTTGAAGTGGAGGATTTGTCATCAGAGTATGGCTCAAGACAGCTGTCTGCTTTGAGAAGATGTAAAGTCTTCTAGGCCTGCTGGAAAACCCTTTCATAAGGCGTAACAGTATGCAACACTGTGAGATGGCCAGAGATCTAAAGACCCATGTTCATTTTTTTAAATTTCCTAGATGGAGGGCTAAGTGTGGCTTCTGTTTCTGGTCATGTATAAATGCAACCAATTCTTCAACCAGATTATTAAACTGTATGCCATGATAATATTTGGGGACAATAAGCTTCATATTTAATTCTGTATTGCTATAGAAATATACCCTCATATCATCATGCATGGTTCTTTTGGCACTGAGGGGTTTGCTGGCAGTGTGGGAAGAATGCTCAACTCCGTCCAGTCTCTGTAAGAAGAGTAGCAAAATTAAGAAAAATTAAATACTGAGATGACAACAGAGAAATTTATGTTTCCAGTGGCCAAGATGTCAAAGCTGTTCTTTCAATTTTAAAATTTGACCTAAGAATAGCGACTGCCTGGAGGGAAAGTAGTTGTCTTGGTTAAGAATGGAGTTTGACACATCTTTTCCTTTCTTCCTGTCCTTGAATAAATTTGCTAGTCTCTGCAATGAATCTGCATGGAGAATTGAGTTATAGCATGATGGAAGATATGGTTGATGGCAATCCGATGGAGACTGTCCGGAAGTACTTCCCTGAGACATGGATCTGGGACATAGTTTCAGTGAAGTAAGTGTTCAAGAGAACGTAGAGTGTGGTCACTAGAACAAAACCTTGGACTAGGTTAAAGCCTGGGTGGATGTATCGGTATTTCAGTGAGAGGAGTATTTCTAGCAGACAAAGGGATTTTTTAAGCACATTAAGTGCAGGATGCTTTAGAGGAACATGCAAAAGCCAGTGCCTATATCCCAGATGGGCAGGGGTTTGCTGTCAGCAGATGTTGCTCAGTAGGAGAATAGATGAACACCAGAATACAACTGAAATCTTGTTCTCTGTCCCTCACCAGCTCTGAGGGAAAAGCTGATCTAGAAGTGACCATCCCTGACACCATCACCGAGTGGAAAGCCAATGCATTCTGCACTTCAGCAGACACGGGCTTTGGCCTGTCCCCGACAGTGTCCCTCAGAGCCTTCCAGCCCTTCTTTGTCGAGCTCACCATGCCCTACTCTGTGGTGCGTGGGGAGTCCTTCACGCTCAAAGCCACCGTTTTCAACTACCTGCCTGCCTGCATCAGGGTAAGGGATGTTCACAGCTTTGCTCAGCCTAACAGCCATGGGGAGACTGCAGGGGGCCTTTTGTAACCAGGTGTTCCAAGCCAGATGACAGATCTGCAAATGTAATTTCATATAGGTGTATGTACGTACAAATCCTTGTTGCATTCAATGAACAGGGAATGTGTTTTCCTTTTGAAGTTTTGAAAGCTGCATTTTATTCAGAGCCTGAAGGTCTGCTACTGAGATCCCCAGCCTTGTCATCACAAATTTATGTCACTGTTGTACAGAAATAGGGAACCTGGGTTCTTCACAGATCACAGAATCATTGCATACCCAAACAGAAACTCCAGGTTCACCAGGGTGGATATTTATGTTCAGCCTTTAGTCTCATCTCACAAAATTTGACAGAAGATTTGCTGGAATGTGCAGACTTCCTGTAATTTGTTGCGTCTGTCCCTAAAACACTGAGGAGAGATATATGGCTTCACCACTCTTACCTGCATTTTTTTCCTAACATAAAAAGACAAGAGAAAATTTGGGAAGGGATTAGTACATAATCTCAACCACCTTTGCTTAGTTTTTTATAAATACAGATTTTTATTCTAAAAGGAATGAAGCTGAAACAAGGAGGGGCGCTTACCCAGTCATTCCAATGCATTCTCACTTATGTCCCTGTATTTCCTATTTTGTTTGCTATTTTCAGGGTCTTTATTCCACTTTTCCTTGTTCCCTTTATTCCACTTTTCTTTGTTCCCTTACTAGCTTTCTCACTGCTGGTGTTTTATTTCTTCACCTAACTAATCATGAGGGAGATCTTTAATTCATGGCACAACTGGTCTGTGCTATTCATTTTCCGAGAATCGATTTCCTTTCCAAAGATGCTGTTCTCTACAGTTACCTCCCTGATCTCCTACAATTGTACAAATTTCAGTCATTTCCTCCTTTATCAGGCAGCTCTTGCTCTGCAATACCCATAACAGGTAGCTCCACTACCCATTTCCATGTACTGCATTGTCTGCAATAACTCCAGCTTCTCTTCAAGTCCAGACCTCACAACGCCTCTCTGTACAACTGGCAGGTCAGTGTGTCTCTGGCTGAATCTGCTGATTTCCTGGCTGTACCTGTGGGGAAACAGGAGGAATCCTACTGCATCTGTGTGAATGAAAGAAAAACTGTTGCTTGGGCAGTAACACCAAGATCTCTAGGTAAGAGACCAGGTGACGAGAAGATACTGGGATTGGATAGCAGTGCATGGCACCAGATCTCAGGTGTGAGGAGCTAGGTGACTCCAAACCTGTTTGGAAGGATCTTCTCAATGTCAGAAGTCCAGCCCTGAGGTTCAGACACTACTCTGGGTGTAGTGTTCCCAGGTCCTAAACAAACTATATGTTACAGGACACGGCTTTCCCAACATTTTTATAGAAATCACAAATTCCCTTAAGGCATGCAAAGAACTCAGACATTCCAACTGTGGAGCTGAGAATGTCCTGTCTTAATGTGTTTGGATCTGAAATTTTTTAATCAAAGCTTGCTTTGTCTGAAGCTTCCCAGAAAAAGACCATTTGATTTATGAGACCTTCCCCTTCACTGCTCTTCCTGCTGATGGACTAACACCTGCTTGGGTGCCCATCACAAAGGAGATGATCTGGAAGGCTGCATCTGCATCAAGATAAAACCCTGTCTCAGATTTAGGTCTCCTCTTGGAAAAACTTCTCTGTAATGCATGATGGAGTTCCCAGCAGAAACACAAACCTGTCTTTCCCTGGCTCTGCCTGGCAGGGCTGACTGACCCCTGTTTCCTCCAGGGCAGGTGGAGCTCTCAGTGACCACCGAGGCCGTAGAGAACCAGCAGCCCTGTGGGAACTACATTGTGGAGACCCCTGAGAAAGGGCGTAAGGACACGGTCATCAGACAGCTGCTGGTGGAGGTACGTGGGCTGCTCCTTCTGGTGGCACAGAAAAGTAGCAATAGTGACAGCCAGAGCTGCTGTGTGATAAAGGTTTTCTGGTTTAGCCATGAGAGCAGCAATAATGGCTTGTGGGACTCTTATTCTGCAAGCTGTAACAAAAGAAGTGCTGACAAATGTAACACAGGCCAATAGAGCCCATAACTCATAATGCTGCCATCTCACAGTCAAAGCAGGGTCTTACATTACATGGAGGGACAGGAATAATAAGGCAGGCAATAATGACAGGTTTTTCTGAGACATATCATATCAGAGATAAATGAGAAATCCTTGTGTTTGCCTGTAATAAATCACAGGGAAAGGCTGTGAATAGAACACTAGACAGAAAACTTATGCTTCTCCTCCAGCCCATGGCCAATACTCTGGAATGTGGAAAAGTCACTACAATCTGCAAATATTTCTAAACAAAACTACCATCACTGAATTTTTTTACCATCATTGACCATCATTTTACCATCATGACTACCATCATTGAATTGTTTTTATTACACCTCTAAGAATGTTCAAAACAGTGTAACTAACCTTTTATTTTTACATTCTTTTGTATGCTTCCTTCTTAAGCAGTGTTTTGCAATGATAAAAACATAGCTTTTCACATGGTAAGTTGCCAGTCATAAAATTAATCCTCAGTATAAGATTTCCTGCAATGCTATTAGCAAATGAAAAGTACCAGCTTGTTGTATAGGGAAATTTATATAATAATAAGTCCTCCTTACATTGTAGACATTCCAGTTTTCAGTAAGGCAGAGCTAGGATTAATGTAGCTTCAGGAAATGTTTTGCTAACTGGAATGTAATGATGGAACAACAGTCCTATCTGCTAGGCTTTTTTGTTTTTTTAACAAATGGATTTGAATCTATAATACATGAACAACTGTTTAACATTTCAGGAAATTTTCCTAAATTCACATACCCCTTCAGGAAAAAGACTGTTTGTTTAGTTGTTTGAAGATACAGGAAGATAGAGCACTGTAAAGTCTTTTCTCACAGATGTCAGGGGAATGTAAATTACTGAACAAGCATTAGAGTTACTTCTGTCAGGGTGTCTGAGAGATTGCTCATCCTGTCCTGTTATTGTAATGTGGCAATTAATCTACAGCAAGCCCTGACAGGATGGAATTGGAGATTAGCATCCAAGGCTGAACAATTAATTAGCAGGGGTGGATACAGTGCAACGTGCTTGGGGTGAAGCTGCATTGTCTTGAGCACATGGATGGCAATATTCCCTGCAGCAGGCACTGTATCCCAGAGGGAGAGAGGAGTGTGCCAGAGGCCCCAGGGCATCTTCCTGCCCCTCAAGAAACCAAGCCTCATTGAGAGCTCTTTGGGAAAAGGGATTTTTTTCACCCAGGAATTTCTCATCTGGAAAGGAAAATCTTCCAAACAATTACAGTTTGTATGTTTTCATTTCCTGTTGGAAATCAAACAAAACAATGGATTTCTCATTTAGTTGCATATCAGAATGACATACTGAAACAAACAAGATGGTGCTTTTTCAAACAAAAGCATTTAGCTCTGTCACAGTTTATCCCAAAAACTTGTTCTTTTTTCTTTTTTTTTTTTTCCTCTTCTTTTAATACTTTTCTGTCTTTTCATACTGAAGAACAAGAGGCAATGTATTCTGATTGTGAGAAAGTGAAGACAATAGCACCATTGTTTACATGCTGGGGAAAAAAAAATCAGCTGGTAAAAGCTGGAAACCAGTAGTGAAGCAATGGGAACTCTCCTATTTAGAGGTTAAAAAATGGGTGCAGGCACCTCACTAAAACAAATTCTGACAAAAACCAGTTTTCTAGTAAACATTTGATTCCTGAGTTTTCTGCAAAATATTGTCACCCATCTCAACAGAAAAGAAGGATTCTTTTCTGACTTCAAAGACTAGACTAGAACTTATAAACTGGTTAACTGTGGCACACATTTAAATTTTGGTTGTTGTAGCATGTCAGTTGTAGGTGCATTGGAGTGCTCTGGCTGCCCCCAGTCAAAGTTCTTGCATACATGTTCTCCCCGTGTGCCAGGCACTCAGCCATCACCACAGTGAGTGGCAACTCAGATGACCAGGTCCCATGCCCCTCTTGGTAACACCACTTTGCATGTTATCTCCATCACAACCTGTGAAGCTGCAGAGCCTCTCTCAGTAATAAGAAAGAAAAGAAAACAAAATGTATTACATTTCATACTTGTAATTAGCCAGTATGTTACATTTCTCAATTATCCTCAGTTTCACACATGGAGGAGAAAAATTTCTAGGCAATTTTCAAAGAGTGCCTTTTACTTTCCCTTTTGATTTTTCTTCCTTTTCTTTGTTGCTATTGTTTCTTATTTTTTGCCTTTTTTTTTCCTTGCCCTTTTCCCCAAGCCGGAAGGGACTGAAGTGGAAACCACATATAACTCTGTGCTCTGTGCATCTGGTAAGAGCCATTTGTTTTCCAAAACTTTCTTTGCTAAGGTAGAAACTAAAGACAAAGGTGGAATAAAAGGTTTGTGAGTGCTCCACTGTGAGAAGAAAGGTGTAGGGATCTGATAAAATTTAACAAACTAGATATTCGTTCAACTGTTAGTGAAAACAGTTCTTCCTGTAGGAGAAGAGCTGAGAATGTAACAATGTTTACAATTAGAGAGGCAGAAGCACATCTTTTAAGAAATGAGGCTGGCCAGGTCAATGCAAGGAGAGAGTATTTGGGATTTGATATGGTTATCTCTAATGCCTTTCATCTGACAGATGTAAAATCTGGACAAACCGTACTCTGTGGTAAGCCAGGTCTGCCCACCAAAGCAGAAAAGGCCAGAAACATAGTCTGGAAGAGGGAAAAGGTGTCTTTGTCAGTCAAAACTGGTTGATGGTGCCATGTAGAAGTCCATGACAATCTGTGTGTGAGGATGATGCAGGCCCAATACAAAATTTGCAGGATGGGAAACTTCAACAAAATTACAGATGAAAGGATTTGTTGAAGTCAGGAAACCCCTCTTCAGGGGATAGTGTCTCATCCATGGATAGCTGCTACCCATGCATTGTAGATACATCTGGAATTGTAACCAAATTAATCTGCTTTTTATCTCAGAAGAGTCGGTGTCACAGACAGTCTCCTTGGCTCTCCCAGAGACTGTGGTGGATGGCTCAGCCAGAGCATATTTCTCAGTGTTAGGTAAGTGAAACCTCCTCAAAGTGTCTCATGCTGTTTTGAAACACTGCCACTTTCAGGCTGTGCTCAGTCTAATGGCCAATTTACGCTGTGAATTGTCCCACTGCTCAGGTGACATCATGGGCACTGCCATGCAGAACCTGCACCAGCTCCTCCAGATGCCCTTTGGCTGTGGGGAGCAGAACATGGTCCTGTTTGCACCCAACATCTATGTCCTGGACTATCTGAACAAGACAGGGCAGCTGAGTGAGGAGATCAAATCCAAGGCCACTGGATACTTAGTGAGCGGTGAGTTTTGCTTTTGTTCATCCCTTCCCTTGGCTACTGGATAAGGACACTGTTGGCCACTGGCCTGGATGATCTGTTGGAGGCTGTCTCTAGAAAGGAACAGGGTACTGGCAGGTTAGGGGTGTACAATACAGTATCTGTAAGAAGGAATCCTGTGCTCAGTTGGAGGTACAGGGTGATAGACAGCAGCATCCAAACAGGAACACAGAAAAAGTCCAGGGCTGGCAATAACTCAGGATTTCCCTCCATAAGAAAAGGGTTGTATGAACTACATAAATCAGACTATAACCATTAATCATGGCAGCTGCTCATGTAGATCTTGAATTCTCCTTGGGATTGAGGTGTGAAAGTATTGCTCACCTTTGACCAGGGCAAAATTTTACCACATTAGCTAGGGCATGATGACAGACACAACATCAGTACATAGGCACAGGATGGGCATCTGCTGATTAGCAAGGGATGGTTGTGACTCAGTTATTTTTGCAGGAATATTGTATTTTCTCCAAAGAAAATTACCCTGTTTTCTGCATTCCTATCCTATGTAGGACTCACATTTTTAATCAGTTCTCCTTTGGGAACCATTCTCCCATTTCTCTCAAGTCTGGGATGCATTTATCTCTCCTCCTAAGTCTTGGGCAGAGAGAAGCAGTGACCACAGATAGGCAGCTTCCAGGTGTTTTTGGAGACAGGAAGAGCACAAGAATAGAGATAGTCAAAGCTGGGTGTTTCTCTGAACTTCCTTTGTAATACTGAGCAGCACAGGTCACATCTGTGCCATAGCCAAGGGGATCAGTGTGTCCCATGTCTGCTGCATTTCCCTTGAAAAGCACTGTGGCAACTGAAATATATTTTCACTCTTCATTTCAGGGTATCAAAGGCAATTGAAGTACAAACATCAGGATGGTTCTTATAGCACATTTGGGCCACGTTATGGGCAAGTTGGAAATACCTGGTAAGACTTCGGTACCTCTGGCTTTTCAGTTCTGTTTTTCATGCCCTCTTATTCCTCGGTGTTCTGTTGTACTTGGCCATTTGGAGTTTGGAATGGAGGTGGAGATGAAGTTAAATGGGCCTTATGATCTCTGATGGGTACAGGGCTTACTCAGGATGTCTTGGCTCCCTCTATCACTTTCAGGCTCACAGCCTTTGTCCTCAAGTCCTTTGCCCAGGCCCGGCCTCACATCTTCATAGAGGAGAACGGTGGTGGTGCAGGTAAAACTGGGGAATGAATCGCAGCAGAAGGACTGCTGAGCCAGTGTGGTTGCCAGGCTGTTGCAATCCCTCTGCTCCAAATTGGTGGTGGTGCAGGTAAAACTTGTGAATGAAGGACTGCTGAGCCAGAGTGGTTGCCAGGCTGTTGCAATCCCTCTGCTCCAAATGTAGTAGGGAATGTTCTGTGTCCAAAGTTTTTTCCTTTGTAGCAAGAATAAGCAGAAGGCATTATTTTGTCAGTAAGGTGACATGGATGGCACTAACTTCACCAGAAGAGCATCCTTTCTTTGTCATGTGTTGTGTTTAGAAGCCAAGCTCTCAGGCAGAACCATACTGGATAACTAGGATTTTTTCCAGCTCCCTGTCTGAGACCAAAACTGCCACTGAATGTGAAGGAAGAGGTTTGTCACAATCTGAGTGGGGTATGGGGGCATTTCAGGTCAAGGTGCATGAACAAAGATTAGCACAGTCCTTAAGTAATTAAGGCTCATACAGAGTATTTCTATAAAATAAACCATATTAAACCCTGATAAAAACCTTAATAGCACTGTCCTTAGCATGTGTGTCACTACTGTGACCTCCTGTCATTAGACTGCACTCCTCCCCAACATTTACCTTACAAACAGTAGTAGACATAGACACAACCAATTTAGGTTTTATTCTTTGCTTTCTTAAAACCAGCTGAACTGCTTCTCCAATGGGGATCACAGAAGATTTCATCTTCCAGCACACACACAGTGAAATTCAAAGCACAAAGCAACAGAAAAGCATGTATTTTCCTTCTAGACCCTTTATTAAGCTGTAAATGTGCTGTTAGCTTTCAGGTCATGGCATGCTCTCCCTGCAGAGCTACTTTTTCAATTATATGACAGCTTTTCTATCACAAATGAGGAGTAGTCGTGTCTTGCTGAAAGTTTGTGGTGTAAGAATGTCTGTAAGTCATAACAGCATGTAAAGTAGCTACATTTTACTTCGCTGTAGTGGCTGGACTCTTAGACCAATACATGCATTGCAAATGTGAATATCACCAAAAAAAATCCAGAAAATACAAAAAACCACACTTTTTTTTTTTTCTTGTGCAGAGATAGACTTCATCAGCAAACTAGAATCTATATTACTTTCAGCAAGTGAAATTTTTTTGAAAGTGCCCTGGAAAAGGGGAAACAAACAAAAAGGAAAGGATAGAGGAGAGTGTGAAAGCACGGAACAGTCTCAGGGTGATAGCTGGAGAGGAAAGCAAGTATTCAGTACACCTAAAGCAAGGAAGTATTTCAGAGAGGTCCTCTTACCCCAGAACACAATCAGGCCAGGAATTTTTCTCATGGAAAAAGAATTGGAGCCTTGCTTCACAGTCTTTAAATCAAACTGGGAAAAACCATTACAACAAGACATGTAAAAGAAAAGGAGATTCAAGATAAGGAACAGCCTTTGGCTGCCCATTTGTCCTGGGAATTATTAGGCCTGGAGGGAAGGGATACACAATGGTAAAACCGTTGTTAGGCCAGAGAGTGGGATGCTAAGGATCCACACGGGTACCATCCTGTGCCTATTGTTCCAAGAGGGAGCTCGGTACAATCACCTCTAGATCGGTCTCTCTCCTTCCAGCACTCAGTGGTGCTAGTGGGTGAGGCTGGGCAGGGGGACACAGGGAGGGCCACGGGAGCTGTGGGGACCCGCAGCTGCCCCAGCCTGGCACTGCCACCCCAGCCCTGCCCTGAAACTGGGAGTGCTCAGGTGCTGGGACAGAGCCATGGATGCTGGGGGTCCCGTGTTCATTTCTGGCCCTGCAGTGTGGCTGTGCCTGTGCTTCCAGGCAGACCTGCTGCTCCTTGTGCCTCTGCTGTCCTGGCTGCTGTGCCAGGGTGGCAGTGACAGAGCTCTTTGTGTCCACCTCAGCCCTGTGTGCTGGGAGGAGGTGTCTGAGCAGCCCTTGGCTACGCTGGCAAGGAGACCTGCTGGAGCTGCCTGTGCGGGTGGCTCTGCCTTGCTGCCACTGCCCCCAGACAGGGCTGGGACTGGGGCTGCCCCCACCCCAACTGGGATCTCTGGGGAAACTGGGGATGGAGGCACCAGCCTTCTCTGCGGGTCTGGGAAAAGCATGTCTGTGGCACCCATTCCTCTGCCAGCAGTGCCGGGGATCATGACAGCTCACTCTCCCTATCCTTCTGTTTCTAGATGAGTTTGCCACACAGGAATACAGTGCTCCCTGCACCACAGGTAGGGTGCTGCTTCCCTCACTGCTCTCTGCATCTTCTTCATTATATTTTTGGTCTTCCAACCAGCACTTGTCTCTTCCTGTTTGAATTTGGATGATGTTGGCCCAACTTACAGGCACAGATCTGGCATGTAAAACAAAGAGCATAGGTGTTACAGAGATGGCAAGTTTGCCTTTGGTTTCTACTGTCTGGAGGAACAGCTGCTTCCTGCTCAGGTTCCTGCTGCCCCAGGGCCTCTCAGGAGAAAGCTGTGCCTCATAACCCACGGCAGGCAGCCCTCAGTATCCACTTGGAGGCTGAGCTGTCGGGACAGAATACTGTCATCTTTGGGGGATTCTCTGCAATGCAAGGCTTAGGAGCCAGGTAATTTAGGAGCTTCTGTAAAAAGCTCTGGCCAAGGCTATTTCTCCTCTCCTATATGGAGTCTTCCAATATGAAGACTGGCAGGTCTTGCTTCCCATCCATTGCCCATTTTCAGGTGTTTGGAATATGGAGGCTTCTGGAAAGCAGAATTCCTGGGAAATGTTTTTTTGCAGGACCTGACTGTGACAACTGAAAACAGAGAAAAAGTGATTTGGACTTGGAGAAGGCAAAAGCTTTGCCTTCTGCTGGTGGTAAATGGTGGCATTTATCTCATTTAGTGTTTCTAACTGAAAAAGCAGAAGAGTCTGAACTCCCACACTGATATTCCATAGTGTTTGTTAATCTGAGCTGTGTCCATAGGTACGGCTGTTTTCTGCTGATTCCGGACCTACAGTCTCCCTTCATGGAAAAATGTGCCTAAGTCCAAACACTGAGTGCACAGTAAAACATTTCCAAAAGGTGTTTTAGTGTGGTCTGGCTGTCCAGTGTGAGACTCATGGGGAGACCTTAGATTTTAGGCTACTTTTCCCCAGTTCTGTTAGAAGGCAGAGATTTTATCTTCCTTGGAAAACGTGATGGGGAATTGCTACTTAAGAGGCTCGTCCACTAGTCTAAATGTACAGAGGTGGCCTGCACTGACTAGAAGGCAGATCTCAGTTGCCAAGCTTCCTTCCCTGCCCTGTATAGCAGAGCAGTAGAGTGCAGTAGATTTCTTCCACTCTTTGCAGAGAAATAAACAGAATGTGTCTCAGTGCTACACTGACCAGCTTTTCCTGTTTGCTCCTGTGCACATCTCAGTTGTGACAAATCCCTCTGCTTATCTCTCCCGGTGGGTCAGGGGGAATTTCAGCCTCTCTCAACCTCACACTGCCTTGAAGGTGACACAAGTAGTGAGTGCTGTGGATGACCCTCCCCCCTGGTAAAACAGCAGCTCTCTCTCCTGTACTGTGCTTCACACACAACCTGGCTTCCACATCCACATCTTGCTCCCTCTGTCTCTCAACCTTAGAAAGCAGATAGACATATCCCTCTGACTCCTGTTCCCTCCCACCTTCTTTCATCCTTGCAGAGGAAGCAGACCAGGGAAATGACTGAAGAACACTCCCAGATGCTGGAACCTGCCTGCCTCACCACCACCACCACCACAGCATGACATTAATAATGCCTGCATGGAATGGAAAGTGAACTTTACAAATAAATTAACTGTACTCACCAATGATTTTTGAACAGTTTGTTCCCCATTCTGATTTTTCCTGCTCGTTTTTCTGTCACAGCTTTAATTTCCCTGGCTTCTTAGGTTAAAGAGTAACCCATCTAACAATGCCTGTGTGCAGGGAAATAAGGCTAACAAGTGAGGGGGAAAAAAAGAGGACAGAATTATCTAAGTGGGGGTCAGCCTTTCTAATGTATCTGTCTCTGTGTTATGATCTCTGAAGTTATCATCTGTATGCAGTCTAATCAATGGAGAAGGACAGGTAGTTCTTGGGAACAATTTCTCTCCCCTGGCTTACAAACCATATCCTCCATTGAATTGGTCTCTGCAGAGGCCTATCCATGCCTCCTGCCATTAGGCAGCCTGGAAGATCAACTAATGTTACATGAAATTCAGCCTCTGTTATCTCCCCTGTAGACACCCCTCCTGGGATGGTTTCTTGTTTGTAGAAGAGTGGAAGGAGACAGAGTCTGCACTCCTCAATGATTAGAGAGTGCCAGGGGGACAGGAGGGATGTGTGCCTGCATTATGCCTTCAGCTGCTGCCTTACAATGCTTGTTCCTCCTTGTGGAAGTTTCCATTGTCTCATGTCTGCTACTTCTGGGAGATTCCCAAGGAGAAGCTAATGGCATTTGCCACTAACCTACCTGCCTAAGCCTAGTTTAAATGGTACATTCATTTAAATCACATAGCTCCCTTGATGAAACTGTCTATAGGCCTCTTAGGCACCCCCAGGAATGATCCCCCTTTCTTCGTTTTGTCTCAAGAATTTGTGGTTTTAACTTTTGAATGCAAAAAATCTTATGAGCCTGTTTATTCTCATTAAATGCTTACTGTTAGGTATCATGGCATGTTGTGCATCCAAAGTATGCACAGTTGGCTGTTTCATCCAATTTTTGGTTTAGTGTACCTGCACAAACAGTGTCATTGAGAACAAATAAAATTCTTCATCTATTTTGGTAGATATTAATATTATGTCACTTTGTCTTCTGTTATGTTTGGGCTTTACACACTCAAGGCCTTTTGACACCTCATATTCAGAGGAGACTGTGGAATGAACCAGCTTCAGTGGCAGCTGAGCAAAATTTATAATACAACTAAATTGCCTTTTGTTTTGAATTAGAAATAATATAACCATCTATTTTTTCTACCATAAGGCAATTTCTTTTCCAGAGAAAGGATGGTCTGTATCTGTGAAATAAGCTACAAGAGGGACTCCTATAGGTGTTTTTGCTTAAGCTTACATTGGCAGGGTGAAAAGCATCTCTGTACATAGAAATATGTAAGTAAAACACACATGGTGCCATAGGACCTCTTGAACTGAGGCTGACTGCCTCTGCATCCATGTGAGACATCTAGACCAGAGAAAATATAATCATTTGGAAAATGTACATGAAAAATGTTTAGCCCAAATTACGAGATGTGAATCCAGATCCTCCCCACTGAAATCTGCTGAAGCATTGTAAGCCTACTTGTGAAGGAGAAAAAAAAAGTTTTAAAAATTACTCAGACAACCCAGAGGAGATCTATGGACCTCCACTGAGAGAAAGATTATAAAGTTCTTATGAAAAATGCAAGGGGTTTTTGCTCATAAAGTGGCTCTTGGTTGAATTTTTGCCCAAGCTTGGCAAAATGAGTGCCATCATGTGTCACATACAGGAGAACCAGGTGGTCAGACCCAGCTAGCAGAGGTTTGGGAAAGGCAGGTCCTGCTTGACCAGTCTCATCTCCTTCCACGACAAGGTGACCCACTCAATGGATAAGGGAAAGGCTGTGGATGTAGGTTACCCAGACTTCAGCAAAGCCTTTGACACAATTTCCCACAGCATTCTCCTGGAGAATCTGGCTGCTCATGGCTCAGACAGGTGCACTGTTTGCTGGGTAAAAAACCGGATAGCCAGGCCCAGGTGGTGAATGGAGCTACATCCAGCTGGTCCCCAGTGGGGTCCCCAGGGATCAGTGTTGGGACCACTCCTGCTTAATTATCAATGACCTGAGGGGATCAAGGGCACCCTCAGTAAGTTTGAAGGAAACATCAAGCTGGGTGGGAGTGTGGATCTGCTGGAGGGCAGGAGGGCTCTGCAGAGGGATCTGGACCAGCTGGATGCATGGATCAAGGTCAGTGGTGTGAGGCCAAGTGCTGGGGCCTACACTTGGGTCACAACAACCCCATGCAACCCTACGTGGTTTAGCAGTGGACTGAGCAATGCTGGGTTTATGGTAGGACTTGACCTTAAAGCCTTCTCCAACCTAAAAAATTCTATGAATGACATATTTAAGGTCCCAGTCCCTCTCTGATTTTACTTTAGCTGTTTAGAAACAAGCAGAACCTGCTAGAATGGGAAAGTCCACAGGTCTTCACTTCTATCTGGGCTGCTGCAAAAGATCAGATTGGACAGGTTCACAGCGTCCTTGCACCTCCCAGCAGTGATTTCACAGTGCAGTCAAAGGCAATATGTGATTAGAGGTTTACTTCCAAGGATCACCTTGCAGAAAACACCCTCTGTAAAGGCAGAGTGACAAACTCCCAGTGCATAATGAATGAGATACGATGTCCTCTCTCCTTAAACAACTGGCAAGTATGGAGAAAAATCTCCCAACTACCAAAAGCTGTCTGCCTTCTGGTATTCCTGAGGAGTTCCCAAACACCACCTTGCCATGGATGGCTCTGGATTGAAATCTCAGGCCATGACATGGATAGGAAGAGCATAACAGAAGCATAACAGTAACAGAAAACAAGGTCAGAGATATCTGATGAGAATCAAGAATTAATTTATTTAAAGTGTTGCTTCCTTTTTGCTTTTGAGGTGTCCTCCTCTAACTTTTCAATACCACTCCCTTAACAAGATCTTCTAGGAGCAGAAACACATGAGTGATACAGCAAGGCTCCGACAAGATGCATTCTTCAGGAATTTCCTTGTTCTTCCTCAACTGGAGGTGGGAAAAGGACAAGTGAGATAAATATTCTGGTGAGTGGTACCCAGAGCCCTGGATATCTCTGTGTTCTGGTGGCTATGTGAGTTCAAGCCTGTTAAACTATGAGAAACTGCTTCACCTAAAAATGCACAGTTGCAGACAGATAACAGAATGGGAATGACTGGACACATTCAAAATATCTATGCTACAGAGAGGGGAGGCAGATTCATCCTGAAGATACATGAGCTATCCAAACACACATTCTCTCTCAGCAGCTGCATTTCCCATGGGAAAGCAAATTAACCCAGGGAAGAGTTTGAAAGAGATGTGAATAACATCATTAAAGAGATGTGAATAACATTAACATTTCACCAAGGTATTTGGGAGACAATTCCTCAGTACCTTTCAGTGTCTGCAGCATAGCAGATGTGGCCCTAAAAAGGGCAGAGACACAAAAGGCTGAGTGTGATGTTCCATCCCAAGGGAGACCTGAATCTTATTTGCATACAGTGACACTAACACAGAGGAAAAGACAATTGCCACTGTACAAACAAAGGCAGAAACAGTGAGACTGCTGTATGCAGGGAAGGAAAGTGAAAGCTGTATCTGATCTTAAAGAGGAAGTTGGGTGGCATTGCTTTTGGTCTCTGTACTGGCATGGGGACTGCAGAAGGCACAGTGAGGAAAATGCAGAGAGTAGACACAGGCCAAGAAAACACAAGGTATGCAAAGACTCTAGTTCAAGACAACTTGCAAGAGTCCCTGCTGAAGCATGTCAGTCGTTCATGTGCACCTACCTGTGGTGCAGGGAGCACTGTATTCCTGTGTGGCAAACTCATCTGGAAAACAGAAGGGAAGGGAGAGTGAGCTGTCATGATCCCCGGCACTGCTGGCAGAGGAATGGGTGCCACAGAGATGCTTTTCCCAGACCCGCAGAGAAGGCTGGTGCCTCCATC